CTTACTTCCTTGCGTAAAAATGACAGCTACGTATGACTTGATTTATTTTCTGGTGCTTTCACTTCCAGAGACAGTTGTAAGCACTGTGTAACTGCCTCGAGGGTGCTTGACCATTTTAACACAACGTGGTGCGATCATCCCCCTTGCGCGGAGTAAGGGTTCTCGACCCCGCACAACATGATCTACTCGACCACCATTATGGTTACCGCCAGAAAAAAACAGAGGTCAAACAACCCCGTTAACCTGGTTGCCGACATCACGAAGTGAATTGGCTTGTTTTAAAACGTCGTTGCCAAGCGACGAAAACCCAACCCCGATGGAAACACCGGGACACACCCCGGGGGGCGGGAAAAAGGAGAGGGTAACACTAACGTGGTAGTACACAGGGACTGACCGTATTTCATTGGTCAGCAGCCGGGTAGGACGGCCGATGCAAACTGAGGATAAAATTAGCATGCATACACAAACTGTGTCACCGCATTATTAGTAGATTTTCGCATCTAGTTTTGAGTGTACCCTGGCATGTTTTCGGCGGGGGCGACGGAGCTCAAAGAAGATTGCGGTGTCTGTCTCCTAGGACAGCAACGAGGCAGCGAACGATGGTTTGACGATCTGAACGCTTCACCACGAGCGATGTAGTGTGTTTCGATGGAAACAACTTCCTCAACATGAAAAAATGGCATCCATACCCGGGGCTAGCTCTGGGGGTTCTGTTTTTGTTTTGTTTCTAACACTTGTACGCACCATGCCCCCCAGCCAGCTCGAGTTTTTCGGCTACCTACCGTAGGGCCGGATTTTCGGAGGGGGGAGCCCGAAGCAGATTGCGGCGTCTCGGCGGCTTTGGACACATCATCAGCAACCGACCGTACGCTCAAAGATGTTATGGGATTTGAATGTGTAGGAAAGTACCAAAGTGTGCCGGCTAATGCCCACAGGAAAGTGCGGGAGATGTAACGGCCGATCGAAGGATAAAGCAGGGGACAGGACCTTTTTGTAGCCCCTGTCAGAGCGAGCTGGTCTGCCCCCACATGCTGAGTCTACCACAAAGATTAAGGAATGAGCATGCGCTACTATCCAAAGAGATGGTTCAACAAGTGAGTCTTCACCAGGGTCTCCAGAGACTGCTACGCGTGTCTATACCTTTACACAGAGAGAAATCACCCGTTCGAGGCAGACATTGATCAACCCTCCGTTCTGAGGGATAATAAGTAGAAAAATCATCTTTTTGCGATGAGTGTTGATTTGTGCCTTCATTTTTTTCCCGCTAATTCCATCGGGCACTGTTATTATTGCTTCCGCCCTGTCCTCCATCGGCCGTTTTATTTTCGATTGAGATACACAAACTTTATTTCCACACTAATTTCAAGTAATTCCACCTTCTTATTCTCCGTCATACAAGCAAAACGGCCGATGGAGGACAGGCCTAGCTTCCGCTCGCCTCGAGCAACAATCCATCCGCACAGCCCTCCTTTTCTTTTTTCCGACTTCCACCCAGCCAACCATCAATCCGTTCTCCCTTTTCACTGAAGCTCGCGTTCTTTCTCAGACCCATCCCCGACTACAACAACAAGAGCTGACCACCGGGCAGCTTCCCCCTGCTGCTACCAGCACACCTGCAAAAAACAGCGGCCAGTGCCAGCGATATGATGATGTGGTAATGGTGCTACCGACAGACCGGCAGACAACCATGCGCCGCGAAATGAAGCACCCAACACGCACGTACGTGCATCAGGCCGTTCCCACTACAATAACCTACAATTCTGCTATTCCTGTACTGCTTCTTGTACCCCCTCCGTTTGTTATCCTTCGTAACGATCAAACTGTTGTTCGTGTTGCTCGTGAAATAATCCCTGTCTTACGTACATCGAGAGATCGTTCGGATGTGACCGCAGACAACAACCTACACGATGGGCTACACGACGTGGGTGGACATCGTAGTCTACTCGTCATCGACAACTTGCCCCTCACGTTCAACCGAACAAACGCAGCGGCTGTAACTGGCCCGACCTTACAGTACAGCAGTTTTCGCTCATCTCACAAAAAACGGTGTTAGTTATTATTGACCCGTTTCATCATGCATGGTTCGTTTCCAGTCTTTTGCGAACGGGCACCAGCTTTAAAGGACACGCCAGACTGGCGGGCCCCTTTGTTGTTGTAGGCCCCATGTATGTTTGTGCAAAACCATCTTCATCTCTAACTTCCTACTCCGTCGTTCGCTTATCTTCTCTTCGACGGCCAACACCGAGGGTACAAGCTTATATGATATTATAGTAGTCTAACCCCAGCACAAACAAAATTCTTTAAATAAATATAAATAAAGAACAAACACCAAGAATATAGTGATAAACACATCAATAGTATACCCTTTTCAAACCCCAATCGTTTCTGATAATCACAGCTAGCACCTCGCGCCTTTCCTCCCATGCGCCGCCCACGATAAAGCTGGCGCCCGTTGGGCTCGCTGTTCCTGTACCGACAAAAAAGCAGACCACCTTTCCTTCCTTTTTTCCCTCCTGATACTTGATAACCATTGCATGCGTGTGTAAAATACTCTTATGTTTGATGATGCACTATAAAAACATACCCAGTCAATACAACACCAGCAGCAGCAGCAGCTGAGACCCGAGACCCAGAGCTCCTAGCACCCCACAGCACTACCAGCACGTAACAAGATGAATGTAGACTAGGCTGTCGTCCTTCCCTCGCTTGCTCGCAAATTGCAAGACACGCGGAACGGACGGCGCCAACGGCGTTCTACACACACTACCTGCAAGGCAACAAGACATACACAAACAAGTAGAGCGTCCTGCTTCTTCGCTGTTTTTGGCACTCTCTGCCATGTTGCTATTGTAACAACCCATCCATCCAACTAACTCTTGTACTCATTCTCGCTGTACGGTTGGGCAAAAACGATCCCTCGAGAGCTTGAATACGGCGTGACGACGCTCTCTTGACTCAAAAAGTTTAGTTTGTACACTATTCTTGGTACTGCTCCCGAAAAACACGCCTGCCTCGAGTAAACTGCTAAACATGAAAAGCCTTTGCTTTCCCCTCGCCACCCCCACCCCCCTGTATTTTCGCTTGCTATTTATTACTACGACATCAACCACTCCCCAGCACTAACCCGACCCAGAGTTGCAACCGAGAAATACCATCACCGCAACCATTTCCGTGCCGTGAAACCATTACACTATCGTACCGTGTGCAATACATGTAGGGTAGGTGGTATGTGCGTCCTTGCACACACTCTACCCCCGCCCTCTCATGAAACTCATTGTTAGCACGCGCACACACACCACCTTCCTCATGTTGCCCATTGACGACTGACTGCCCCACGCTGTTCCTGCCGCAAGTCAACTACCCGATCGACTATCTATGTATTCCGTGTGTAATAGCTCCTAGGGCAGCATGAACAAATCCCGACAAAGCAAGCGCTAGGGAGGCGATCAATAGCGCTCCAGGCGAATGAACAAAGTGCAAGACGAGCGGGCGCCGGTGATGATGGCATAATCTTCAGCGCGGTCGGTTGTAGTCCGCCGTGCCCCCCCCCCCC